GCTTGGCCAACCGTGGTTTCCCATCGACAGTGTCATTCTGCAACGGGACGGCCAGGCCCACTGGCCTCCTCATGCCCTCGCCCGCCTGGAACGTGGAAGCTGCTTGCCTGGCCAGATGAGGAGGAAATCTGGCCAGGTAAGCCAGGCCGAAGGGGTGAAGAGTTGGGGCCGAGTTAAGTCGGCAGGAGCAGTGCGAGTAGGGGGAGCAGTGGGAGCAGGGGGAGCAGGCCAGCAGGATCAGCACGCTGCTCCTGACGAGTGTGGCCAGCTCAGATCTTCCATCGGCGGTGTCATTCTGCAGTGGGACGGCCCAAGCCGGCTGGGTTTCTCGTGACCTTTAGTGCGTGGTGGGAGGGGACTGATTGCCCTGCCATGTGAGGTAGAAAGCCTTTGTGATGTCTCAGAAGCAGGCAGGTGAGGAGGAGGCTGGCCAGGTATATATGGGACAGTAGGTGAGGCGTTGGGAAGTGGTGTGGAGCAGTGGAAGCAGGTTGGCTGGGTTGGTGGTGCTCCAAGAGAGCAGTGTGTAGCGGGTGGGGACTGATTGCACAGGCAGGAGAGGGATTGTGGGTGGGCGAGGGAGGGAAGAGCACTGGGAGAGGCAGTGATTTTGGAGCAAATGCACGGCCATGTGAGTGTGTGTGTGCTTGAAGAGTGCATGCGAGAAAGAGAGGGAAATGAGCAAGTGGGGGAGTAAGAGTTCCTGGGTGATTGGAGTTAAATGAGCCAGCAACACAGTCAGCACACAGCTAACAGGAGAGGCCGCAGCAGAGGAAGGGGTAGATGCAACAGGAGAAGTAGCAGCACAGTGCATGGCTGTTTGCTTTTGCCAGCACTTCACTTATCTATTGTGCTCCCTTCTGCCTTCACCTTGCAAGGATCCCACTCGTTCCTTTCTCCTTTCTTCCTCCCTCCCCACGCACCATGCTTTCCCCACCTACCCTGCTTCTTCTCCTTTCCTACCTCCCCACCCACCCACCCTTCTTTCTCTTCTCCTCCTCCCTCCTACACACCCTATTTCTCCTTGTTTCCTCCCTCCCGAACTGCCCTTCTTTCTCCTCTTTTCCTCCCTCCCCACAAACCCTAATTTCTCCTCTTTTCCTTCTTCCTTCGCCCAAGCAGCCCTTGTGCTTAAAGAAAGGGTGCACATTCATGGGGGTGGTTTTTGAGGGCATTGTGAGTGTACACCCTCCGACGCTTGCGAATTCGCTGGCGAACTGGCTTGGGGTACGGAAAGCTGGGGCGAGGATTTCACCCAAGGCAACGAAGTCAACCTATTTCGTACAAAGGTTTGCTCAGAGAGAACACGCGGGGTGGGCGGAAATCTAGCAGGGAGCGCAAACTACCAAGCGATAAACCTTGTTGTCACATGTTTCAGTCGCCTCAATCACCTCAGAAAAAATGTCCCTAGAGTAGGTGCTCATACCTGAGCACGCCTAGTTGACGTTCTAATTTCTAGAGTCCTAGCCATTCCTAAAGCACATTCGTTCGCACATGGATTCGGCTGAAGCTTGTTCTCGAACGCGGAGAGGGAAAGCTTCGTATAAAAAATGAAGGCGCTACGCCGCCAGCAAATGTCCTGCTGTCATCCACGCATATTGAAGTAGCCATTAGTCGCGGCTCGCGACGGAATGGATGTGGTACCGTCAACCCGAACGGTCTTCTAAGCGACTGCAAGGACCCCAAGGTGATAGAAGCCGAAACACCACTCTATACTCAAAAGCCACACCCACATCCGCGACCACGCCGCCACATTGGAGCCTCGCCGCCTCGCTTATGCAAGCGCTGGAGCATCGCCGCACCGCCGCCACAACGCCGCCTCGCCGCGTCGTTTCTTCATCCAAGTCACATCGTATCATCCCCTCCCGTCGCCCTTGTTCCCCCCTCCCGTCGCCCTCGTTTCCCCCGCCCCTCGCCCTCGTTTCCCCGCCCCTCGCCCTCGTTTCCCCCGCCCCTCGCCCTCGTTTCCCCCGCTCGTCGCCATTGCGTCCCCCTCCCGTTACCCTCGCTTCCCGTTGCCATCGCTCGCCCCATCGACCTCTCCTTGCTCCCATTCCCGCCGCTTCCTCCCCCTGCGTCCCCTCGTCTTCCTTCCCCCGTCGCCCACGTGCGTTCCCCTCCCCTCCCTGCTGCAGTCGTCCTCGTCTCCCGCCTCCCCGCCTTCTCAAACCCTCACAGTGGACGTATTCACCACAGTCCTCCAATTCCCTCACCCTATGCTTCACTCGCAACCACATTCTCCCAAATGAGACGAACTTCTCATTCATTCTGCCTTCCTCTCTGCCATCCTTCCCCTCCTTTTCCCCCTGCTTCCCCTCCTTTCCCCCCCTGCTTCCCCTCCTTCCCCCCACCCCCTCCTTCCCCCCCCTGCTTCCCCTCCTTTCCCCCTCTGCTTCCCCTCATTTCCCCCTCTGCTTCCCCTCCTTCCCCCTGCTTCCCCTCCTCCCCCCTGCTTCCCCTCCTTCCCCCTGCTTCCCCTCCTCCCCCCTGCTTCCCCTCCTTCCCCCTGCTTCCCCTCCTCCCCCCTGCTTCCCCTCCTTCCCCCTGCTTCCCCTCCTCCCCCCTGCTTCCCCACCTTCCCCCTGTTTCCCCTCCTTCCCCCTGCTTCCCCTCCTCCCCCCTGCTTCCCCTCCTTCCCCCTGCTTCCCCTCCTTCCCCCTGCTTCCCCTCCTTCCCCCTGCTTCCCCTCCTCCCCCCTGCTTCCCCTCCTCCCCCCTGCTTCCCCTCCTTCCCCCTGCTTCCCCTCCTTCCCCCTGCTTCCCCTCCTTCCCCCTGCTTCCCCTCCTCCCCCCTGCTTCCCCTCCTTCCCCCTGCTTCCCCACCTTCCCCCTGCTTCCCCTCCTTCCCCCTGCTTCCCCTCCTTCCCCCTGCTTCCCCTCCTTCCCCCTGCTTCCCCTCCTCCCACCTTCTCGCTCTTGGTCCCCTCCCCTTGTGCTTTTGCTGTCTCAGGTGGAATTCCATTCACCCCGACCTCAATTCGCTGCTCCTCCTCGCTTCTGATGCCTCTGCATACATCACAGGGCAGTGGATTGCTGTGGCCGGGGGACACCACTTGATGAGAGCCAAGTTGAAATCCTAAGCTGTGACTTATGGTAGGCCAGGGCAAGGCTGAATTCCTAGCTGTGATTTGTGTGAAAAATGCCATGATGTGGTTTGGAGAGTAGATAATTGTGGGTTTCCATCCAGTCTCTGTTCAAATGATATCGGCACAAGAACGTGCATCCATTGTCCCATTGCACAGTACAACTGTCCAATATCAGCACTAGGCTAGTGAAAAAAGATCATACGATCACCATCTCAACGGATCATTCATTAGTACAGGTATAACTGCAGGGACGTCAAGTGACCCTGAGGCTACTAGCCAAGTTTACACCTGCCAGCAATCATAGCAGGGAAAAGGAGGGGCCAAAGTGGCAGTTCCCACATCGCTTGTAATCGTGAAAGCTGAGAGCACCATGAGCGAGGAGCCAACGACCAATAGCGAGTTGGCAGATGACATCATCCAGGCAGCTTCTCGGCAGGTGGAAGGTTGTCACCGAAAAACGCAACCTGCCCGAGGCCGCATAGAGAGCAAGGAGGGGAGAGATGACAGGGCGGGGAGAGATGACAGGGAGGGGAGAGATGACAGGGCGGGGAGAGATGACAGGGAGGGGAGAGGTGACAGGGAGGGGAGAGATGACAGGGCGGGGAGAGATGGCAGGGTGGGGAGAGATGACAGGGAGGGGAGAGATGACAGGGAGGGGAGAGATGGCAGGGTGCGGAGAGATGACAGGGAGGGGAGAGATGACAGGGAGGGGAGAGATGACAGGGAGGGGAGAGATGACAGGGAGGGGAGAGATGACAGGGAGGGGAGAGGGAAGAGATGACAGGGCGGGGAGAGATGACAGGGAGGGGAGAGATGACAGGGAGGGGAGAGATGACAGGGAGGGGAGAGATGACAGGGCGGGGAGAGATGACAGGGAGGGGAGAGATGACAGGGAGGGGAGAGATGACAGGGAGGGAAGAGATGACAGGGCGGGGAGAGATGACAGGGAGGGGAGAGATGACAGGGAGGGGAGAGATGACAGGGAGGGGAGAGATGACAGAGAGGGGAGAGATGACAGGGAGGGGAGAGATGACAGGGAGGGGAGAGATGACAGGGAGGGGAGAGATGACAGGGAGGGGAGAGATGACAGGGAGGGAAGAGATGACAGGGCGGGGAGAGATGACAGGGAGGGGAGAGATGACAGGGAGGGGAGAGATGACAGGGAGGGGAGAGATGACAGGGCGGGGAGAGATGACAGGGAGGGGAGAGATGACAGGGCGGGGAGAGATGACAGGGCGGGGAGAGATGACAGGGCGGGGAGAGATGGGATCAAGCAGTTTCTTAGAAGAGTGAGACCTTTACATGCAAACATACACCACCAATGCAATCACTATAAACAAATGAGAACCCTAACTTGATGGTATATTGTAAAAAACTTGCTATTCGAATGTTCACACAACCCTACATGCTTCTCTTCTTGGTTGCTTCATGCTCGAAGAGCTGCACCAACGATGGGTAAGGGGGGGGAGAAACAAAGGATGAGCAGGGGGGGAACCAAGACTGAGCTGGAAGGACGAGGAGAGAGGGCAGGGAGGGGAGAAAGGATTGGGAGAGAACGATGGGGAGAGAGGGAAGGATGGGGATAGATGGAAGGATGGGGAGAGAGGGAAGCATGGGGAGGAGGGAAGGGGGGGATCTGACGGTGCAGAGAGGGGGGATAAGACAGGGTAGAGATGGGGGATAGGACAGAGCAGAGAGTAGGGATAGGACAAGGCATATATGGGGGATTGGACAGGGCAGAGAGAGGGGAAGATCGGGCGAGCTGAGCGAGGGTTGCGTGTCGGCTCACACCATGAGGGAAGGTACGAGGCTGGATGGTGTTGATGGGGAGAAGGCACGGTGCGCGATAGTGGAACTGGGATGACTGCCTGCTGGTGCTGCCGTCACCGGGGGGGAAGGAGGGGAAGCAGGAGGGGAAAGGAGGGGAAGCAGGGGGGGAAAGGAGGGGAAGCAGGGGGGGAAAGGAGGGGAAGCAGGGGGGGAAAGGAGGGGAAGCAGGAGGGGAAAGGAGGGGAAGCAGGGGGGAAAAGGAGGGGAAGCAGGAGGGAAAGGAGGGGAAGCAGGGGGGGAAAGGAGGGGAAGCAGGAGGGGAAAGGAGGGGAAGCAGGGGGGGGAAGGAGGGGAAGCAGGAGGGGAAAGGAGGGGAAGCAGGGGGGGAAAGGAGGGGAAGCAGGGGGGGAAAGGAGGGGAAGCAGTGGGGGAAAGGAGGGGAAGCAGGGGGGGAAAGGAGGGGAAGCAGGGAGGGAAAGGAGGGGAAGCAGGGAGGGAAAGGGAGTGAGCAGGGGGGAAGAGGGTGGGCATGGGGAAAGGGAGTGAGCAGGGGGGAACACAGTGAACAGGGGGGAGGAGAGTAAGCAGGGGGAAACAGAATGAGCAAGGGGGAAAACGAGTGAGCAAGGGAGGAACAGAGTGATGGCGGGGAAAGAGAGTGAGCAGGGGGAAATAGAGTGAGGAGGAGGGGAGAGAGTGAGAAGGGGGAAAGATGCATTCGCAAAAAGGATCGCTCGCAGAGATTGAAGGGACAATAGGGGTGAGAAGGTGAAATGAACGAATGGGAATGTGAAAGGGAGGTAAGGGAGAGCGAGAGGTTACTTCCTGTGCGGAGGTGAAACGGCAAGCACATAGAGGGGGGAGTAAGGGCAGTGTACCCTGAAACGGAGAGAAAGGGATAGGCAGAGAAGGGAGAAAAGGAGAGAGCGGAAAGAGATGGGAGTAAGGGAGAGTGGGGAAAGGGCAGAGATGGGAGTAGGGGAGGGGGAGATACATAGTGAGAGCGCGTGATCTGCGACGTTGCGACCTGAAGCAGCCCTCCCCCCACACCAGGGACTGCCTACTCCCCAGCGTTTTCTCGCAGCTCCTTCCGTCCCCCTCGCACCTTCGCGTTATCGCCGCGCATTGCGGTCGTCGCCTCCCCCTCCCCGTCGCTCCTCACTCCAGTCCATCACGCGCGCGAAATTTCTCCTTGCTCCCGTCTGCCCCTCAAGCGAATACGTTGCTCCCTCCCTTCCGCGCCTCCCGCGTAGTAATTTCTGAAGCAGGCAGGGGAAACGGAGCGAAGCAGGGGAAACGACGAGCATCAAGCGGAACCGCACGAGTGGCAACGCTGAAATCGGGGAGCGCAAAGCAGGAGCGAACGCGCTGAGCGAAAGCGGGGAGCGGGATGCAGTGAGCAAGCGGAAAGCGACGCGCTGGTAGCAACGAGCAACGAGTTGCGCCGGTTCTGCGGCGACCGTTGCCGAGTGGGCTGCGACACGCGGTGACTAGCGGCGAAAGTCGAGCTTCGAGCTTCGAGCGGAAGGCGACGCGAAAACGCGACGATTATCAGACGATGAATCGCGAGCCACCTTCGGCCCGCGACGAACTACGACAGTTGAACTCCGAGCGACGAACGGCGACGATTGGCGACGATTGAAAGTTGTGGCGATCTATCCCCACTGTTTTGACCGATAGCGACAAGTTCTAAACTCCTACTGAGGAACGCTTCCTAAGGCTATTACGAGGTCATTGGCGGCCCCTCTGCTTTTGTGGTGGGGATGGAATGAGCTGCTGTTTTCGGTGCACAAACTCCACTGCGGTCCCTGCAAGTTCCCAACCTGTTTCCTTCGCGCACTACCGGCAGGGGGAACACTTCCGCAGGAATTGGGGCAAAATATTGTCGCCACCCACGCCCTACCACAAACCCGGTAACCCGCCTGAGGCAAGTGATAAACCTTTGGGTCCACCCCCCCCAAAGTGCACCCTTGCTTTAAACCCTACCTTTCATGCTTCACTGGATTCAACCCCTGGACAAGCCAACTCCTGGATTTTCAATCAACTCCTGGCTTTCAAGTCAACTCATGACTTTCCGTCAACTCATGGCTTTCCAGTCAACTCCTGGCTTTCAAGTCAACTCATGACTTTCCGTCAACTCATGGCTTTCCAGTCAACTCCTGGCTTTTTCGACAACTCCTGGTCTTTCTGTCAACTCCTGTCTGTTGCCTGGCTCCTGACCATTATTTGTAATGCTTCTGGGCCGTGTCCATCTCGACTTTAGCCTTTAATTTCACATACAAAATGAGATATGCCTACTTTGGCACACCACACCCTAAGATCTACCCTGGTAAAGTAGGGCTTGCTTTCAACTTTCATGTAACTTTACTAAAGCTTTGTGTTACACTTTTGGCCGAATAAAATATCAACGACTCTGGTGTTCTCTTCTCCAGCAATAAAAACATGGCACACACCCGTGGTGGTTATTCCAAAAGTTTTTCGAAGGAGACCCAATGCAACTGAATAGGATATTGAGCGCTTAATTTTTATATTTAGAATAGTTGGGTGAGGTAATGGCGAGTACGTGTGTTCTTTTTCGGGAACCACCATAAGAGGGAGGCCTCTCGACTCAGCTGTAACAAGAGCTTTGTACTGCTCACAACAAAACGACGCAAATTCGGGGCAGCCGTGATAAGCGCGAGTGTGTTGTTCCTGCTACTCGCAATGCCAGGTACAAGTTTCAGGTGGGAGCCACTTCATCAACAGCTGAATCCATTTGCCCGTGGCTGGCGCGACCATCTAACCCGGTTTAGTTGGGCCAATCCCCGTTTCGCACAGACGCCAGCGCGTGTTCAGTTCAGAGTGCCCAGCATCATCCAGATGATCGACGATCGACGTCCGTTCCTTAGCTTGCGTCGTGTCGACAGACATCGAGGCGCATGTCCGATGTCCACCCACTCTCTTGGCCGACATTCGCGGCGTGGCGCTAGGCAGGTGCAAACACTGCGATGCGGTGGAATGGGTCCAAGGTTGCGCCCTAGCGATTGAGCCCAAGCCGCGATGAAGATAAATGGTTCAAAACAGAGTTGCGAGTATCTCAGAAATAAAGATCCCAGCTTACTAGCTCGTGTCTCGACTTTGGTCCAAGAATAGTTGCTCCTAGAGCACGAGTGCGGATTGCTGCTGAATCCGAGTTTGCTTGTCACTAAATACTATCTTCAGTCAACTACTAGCAGTCGTATCGGCTAAAGGATGGCTTTCGACAGGGAATCAATCACAGCGGCACGCCAGCACGCGGCTTCCCTCCTTGTCTCATTGCTAGTCATCGGGATAATTTGCGGTCCCGCGACTATCGGGGCGTCGGAACTGGAGAACGCCATCAACGAGGCAAATCGGGTACTAATACTACTAGGAATTTCAACTTTAGGAGGTTCCACAAGCAGTTTTTACAACTGTAAGTTGAACTTTTAAGTTTCACTACTACCGCCAACAAGTTCACGTCGATAGCCTCACATCTGTGACAGATACAGTCGCGCAGCTAGTTTAGGCATACTAGTAGTGATATCATCACGCAGCGCGAGGAAACTGGAAAAAGACATCTGCAAGGCGAGCTCGGAGGTACATTTTTTCAAATACGCAGTCGCTCTGGAGCTCCGCGTACAAACTGAGCCCGTATGACGCGGTGGCGGTTACCCCGAGGTAACCTGCATTTGGGATGAGTTCGGGCCCCTCGTGTTTTGTAAGAGTTTTTTAGCACGAGCTGAGCTTGATGCGAGAGTGTTTTTGGATGCTACGTAGTATGCACAGTTTCCGTCACGAATAGTTGCTCCTAGCACGGTGCTAGTAGTAGTAACAAGCTGGTTTTGGAGTTTTTCAACCTAATTTTAAACGCATGTGAGAGTTTCAGAAATCCAAGACCGTCCACCCTCTGCGTGTGTGTGTTTGTTGTGTCCACGTGGCGTGAATCCAGAGAGGAGCACGCGCGTCCCCCTTCGAGCTCGTTCTCACATCCAACGTGCATCTCACTGCGTAAGTTCCTCACGAATCCACGTCTGCACATGCCGCGTCTGTCCACGTTTGCCACCTCATGCCAGTTACGTTGGTACCGACCATACACACGCCTCCCATCAAGCAAGCCCCACCATGTGTAATATGATGATATTATTCCTCATTTCGAGTCCACTCTTTCTCGCCTTGCGACTCCCCTCCCCACAAGCTCTTTCCCCTCTCTTTCCTCTAGCTTCCCCCCTCCCCCTCCCCCAACCAACACACCACCCTTTCCTTTTCCCCTTTCCTCCCCCTCTCCTCCCCCCCAGCCCCCTCCCCGAACTCTCAGGCGCGGCCAAGCTGACCATCATTGGCAATTGTACCGCCGCCAGGTTTGTAACCGGGTTACCAGGTGTTGATTAGGGTTATCAGTTGCCAGTAGTGTCACTTGGGAATGGTCGGTTCTGTGGGTCAGGGCGGTGGTGTGGACCCCACTTTGGCTGTTCCATTCACAAGCATGTGCATTTTCTTTCACTGCCACTGACAGTTCTAATAGGGTTACCAGGCGGGTGTCAGGGTTACCAGCTGGGGTGCCGTGGAAGTCCAGCCATCTTCTTGCACCTTTCCCCCCTACTCCCCCTCCCCAACGCCAGGTGCATTATCAGCGGGGAAGGCGCCTACCCCGTATTCACCTCCCCCTCGTCCAACCCCCCTGGGGGGGTGTTGACTCTGGTCAACCTCAACTTCCAGCGGGCGGCAGGAGGCGTCTTTTTCAACGTGCAGACAGCGATCAACGCGAGCAAATGCGGATTTGTCAGGAACATGGCTCCTAGTGGAGGGGTGCTCAGGTATGGGATTGAAAAGTTGGGGGGGGAGATGTTAAAGTGAGGAGGGTGCTCAATTGAGGGACATGGAGGGAAGATGAGGGAGCAAGAGGGCCGCTCAGGTGAGAGTGCGTGTGGTGCATGTGAGAGTGTGTGTGGTGCATGTGAGAGTGTGTGTGGTGCATGTGAGAGTGCGTGTGGTGCATGTGAGAGTGCGTGTGGTGCATGTGAGGGTGCGTGTGGTGCATGTGAGGGTGTGTGGTGTGCATGTGAGAGTGTGTGTGGTGCATGTGTGAGTGTGTGTGGTGCATGTGAGAGTGTGTGTGGTGCATGTGAGGGTGCGTATGGGGCCTGAAAGCATGCTACATCGACTACCAGCATACCTGAGAATTCCTTGAGTCGTCTCAAGTTATTTGAGTCGAGAATTCTTTGAGTCGTCTCAAGTTATTAGGGTATTTTCTCATGCTGCGCTTTACACGACAACTGGTCGGGGAAGTTTTGGATGATAGGCCAAAACTCGTGACTCCCCCAATTCCCCAACACACTCCCCATGACTCGTGCCCTCCCCTCCCTCCCCTCCCTCCCCATCCCTCACCCTTTAACGTTTCCCCAACCCACCAGCAACCCATTCTCAGGACTAGACATCACTCAACTGCTTCCCTCGTTGCACCGTGCACAGCAGCACACCACATTCCATCAACACGCTCTCCTCTACCCCCGACCCACCCTAACCCACCAGAGACTCCTTCCCTGCAACAGCCATCCCTCCCAACCGCCTCTTCTCGCACTGCACCTTCCGCAACAACAGGGCGTCATACACAATGGGTGGCGCAATCAGCATCAACGCGGAGAACCCCGAGGGAAGCGTGCCTGCTCTGTTAGTTGAGGGATGCACCTTCCAGGGAAACAGCGCGCCTAACGGCCACTGAGGGGCGATTTCGGTGGCAGGGACTGGCAGGATTCGTATCAAGGGGTCTCAGTTTGTAAAGAACAACGCTGGTGAGTTTGTGTCTGTGCGTTTGTGTGGATGTGTGTGCGATTGTGTGGATGTGTGTGCGTTTGTGTGGATGTGTGTGCGTGTGTGTGGATGTGTGTGCGTGTGTGTGGATGTGTGTGCGTGTGTGTGGATGTGTGTGCGTTTGTGTGGATGTGTGTGCGTTTGTGTGGATGTGTGTGCGTTTGTGTGGATGTGTGTGCGTTTGTGTGGATGTGTGTGCGTTTGTGTGGATGTGTGTGCGTTTGTGTGGATGTGTGTGCGTTTGTGTGGATGTGTGTGCGTTTGTGTGTGCGTTTCTGTAGTTGAATGTGCCAGTTTCTGTGCTGTGGTGACCACCCTCACCACCTCCCTTGTCTCCCTGCAGCTGTTGCTTACTCCGTCTCAGACCCTCACACCCTCATTTCCAGAATAGACCTTCGCCCTTGCGGCTCAACCACTTCCTCTATCCCCATCCCACTCTCCCTCCCTCCCACCCTCAAGGTGCATCTGGGGGAGGCATACACTCAGACGGAGTCTCCCTCTCTCTCACCCGCGTCCACTTCAACAACAACAGTGCCCACAACCCGTCCCGTGGCACCTGTGGCTCTGGCGGCGCTATGCACGCCGTCTCAGGACGCCTCAGCCAGGTGTCTGTCCGCCTCTGCACCTTCTCCTTTCAAAACAACTGGGGCTGCGTTGCACAACCAGACCTCGGCACGCTGTACCTGGAGAAGCGCCTCGGAGATTCTCCTCCGACGGTGACGTTTTGTAATGGGCTCAAGCCGACGGAGCGCATCGAGACGGCGGGGTGGACGGAAGCGGGCAATTGCATGGCCAGGTGAGGGAGAAGGCAGGTTGGGTACATGGATAAGAGTGCGTGCGGAATGGGATGGGAGCGATTGCAGTGGGAGCAGTGGGAGTAGGGCAGCTGCGTTGGTGGAGTCCCAAGAGTGGATGGAGGGGGGAAACCAGTGCACAGCCAGGTGAGAGTGTGTGGGTGGGTGAGGGGTGTGCGAGGAGGAGAGAGAGAAGGGAGCGAGTGGGGAGGAAGGAAGGAAGGAAGAGATCTCGGGTAAAGGGATCAAGCTGAGTCAGCAACGCAGTCAGCAGCACAGCCAGCAGCACACGGTGCGTGGCAGTCTGCGTGTCGCCCATACCCCACTTCTTCCCCGTGCTCCTTCCGCCTTTCCGTCTTTCCCTCACGTGGCTTCCCTTCTTTCTCTACCCCTCTCTTCCTCCTTCCCCACATCTTCCTCCTCACCCCCCTTCCTTTCTCCTCACTTTCTCCCACCCCAACCTCAGTCTTTCTCTGCATCCACTCAGCACGTGTTCTTGACACCCTGGCTCTCTGTTCTTTAGTCGCCACTTCATAACAGAAGATAAAGCTTCCGCTTTCCACCCCTTTTTCCTCTTCCCCGTTTCCTCTGTCCAAGCAGCACCTGTGCTTGAGCCCTTCCTGTCGTTCTTCACCACAGTCCACTCCGGGCTTTTCCACTGGCTCCTTACCTCCTGTTTTTGAAGCACGCAACTGTAACGAGTACGGTATAAAGCTAAATCAAGTGTGTGCGATACGGGGGAAGGCATCTCTCCTTGACAACACTGAAAGATGTACTCAATGTGTGAAGGGTTCCTTCCCCTGGCAAACGTACGTATGTCATAAATAGCTGCTGGGCTGTGGTTCCAGCGCCCCCACCTTCTGGGCGTGCAAAGATTTGTCCATGCTTTCTGTCATTAATAGTTGCTTCTGTGTTTATCTTCCGTTTCCTTCCCGTTTAAGCTTGTATTGCGCAGTCCTTCTGTGTGCTGGTGATGAGCATGATGGTCTTTCATGACTAGACTTACTCAAATTATAAGCTTCTGTAGTTTTCAGTTCAGCACATAGAAGATTTTAATTTCTGGAACGGGAGTTGTTTCCTAGAATCTTTTTTTTGGAGGCAGGAGCTGAAGCTTTCTTCTCCTACAGGAATAAAATACCATGGCACTCACACTTGATGAGACTCAATGGAGCTAAATTCGATCTCTATCCTCTTACTTAATACTTAGGATATTCGGTTAGGGTATCTTGCGAGTACGTACTGCGGGACTTGCCATAGCGGGTGTAGATATGGACTCATTTGTTTATGCATGTATGGAATTTTCTCGACATTCCTTAGCGCGCCCTGCAACATCGCGTACAGCAGCAACCGTTGTTCGCCCGTTACTGCTAACGGGGCTTCGCCGACTTCGCGCACACTGTTTCACCAAACCTCGCACTGCTGGCCCGGCCGTGTCGGCCTACGCTTCGGGACTAGCCTGAGCCTCGCTGCCAGCGTAGCACTAGCTAGCTCGCACGCACCGCGTTACCGTTTGCATGTTTCGCGTATAAATGTTCGCTCATGCCTTCGCTCACATTTTGTACTCGTTTGACACTTAGTGCAATCCTCGCTACCTCGATTCATTGCACCCATAATACTTGGTATTCATAGCCTCTTTCTTTTCGGACCGCGCATCTCCGCACCCCATGATACCAACTTTTGATTTTTCACTCGAAGGGACTCACGCACCTTAGGTCCTAGGAGCCGCTGTCATCGCGTTCTCTCGTAAACGCGTGCAGCCACGATTGCGCCTAGAACTAAGACGAGCCGACGCCCTTCGGAATGGCCGAACATATCAACGTCACCACTCTCACGCAGGAGCACTTGAACGAACTGCTGCGGCAAATCCGCGAAAGCTCTGAAGAAATCGCGGCGCTGATGGTAGAACGCACGTCTCCGCAAAATGACGTCGCACGAGCACAACAAGCACAGTCTCAAGCACCTGGCACCCCGATACAGCCTGCACCACAAACATCGCAACATGGAAGCGTGGGGCAACCCGCGAGCGCGGCCAGTGATGGCGTCGTCCGCCACGACGGAGACGACGACCACGGCACGACACACCCCGACGCGACGAATGCGGCCAGGAGTCAGCCTCGAGTCACGATTTCTGTGCCGGCCGGCGAATCAACACTACCGTCGCCGATGCAGCTGAAGCCGCAGCGTCCGCCATGCTTTGACCTGAGTCAGCGCGGTGGTCCTACCGTTCAGGCGTGGCTATTGACGTTGAACGTCTTCTTTGACGCGAACTACGTCTCGGAGGATACAGCGAAGATTCGTTACGCCGTGTCGTTGCTGCGAGGACCTGCCATGGACTGGTGGCGTGTCATCGTCACGAAGCCGGTGGACTACGCGACTCTACCGACACGGGAAGGACAAACCGGACCCTGGGCGCCGTCGTATTTCGTGTAGGTGCCCCAATATCGCACGTGGGACGCGTGGTGCGCAGGTCTGCACGCTCGGTTTGAGCCAATCACGGCTTCGATCGCGGCGCGACAGAAGCTCCGCACTTGGCCCCAACTCGGTTCCGTCCAGGACTACTCGAGCGGGTTTCTGGCGCTATGCGAGCAAGTGGGTTACATGCACGAGAGCGAGCGCATCGACCGCTACATCGGCGGCCTCAAGCACGACATCGCTCAGGAAATCCAGCTTCGCGGCGTCACCGACTTTCAAGAAATTCTCGCTATGGCGGAGAAACTTTACTTCTTTCGCCGACCGAGACCAGGGTCCTACAGAAGCAACAACTGGGGACATCGGTCTCGTGGGACGAACGAGGGCGCTACGATACGCCTCGTCGCCGCGAATGCCGCTGCCGCACCGTTCAAAGGGCCCATGCTTCACATCGCAGATCCGCACCGTCCGTTCGAGCTCGTCACCGATGCTAGCGACATCGATGTGGGAGCAGACCTGTTGCAGGACTTCAGGAACGGCCTCCAGCCAATCGCGTACGAGTCCCGCAAGCTTCACCCGCCCGAACGCAACTACCCGATACACGACCGCGAGATGCTGGCGATCGTGCACGCGTTCAAGGTGTGGCGATGTTACCTCATGGGAGCAGACGTGACAGTACGGACAGACCACTGATCACTACAGTACTTTCGCGCCCAACCGAATCTCAACTCACGACAGATCCGTTGGTTGGACTATCTGGAGTCTAACTTCCACTACACAGTCACGTACAAAAAAGGCGCATCCAACATCGCCGACGCACTCACACGCCCCACTGCCAAACTCCACGCCATCCTACTCGCCCAAACCAACCCACTGCTAATAGGCCTATTCACCCACGGATACAGTATCGACCCATTTTTCACGACTGGAAATTCATAGCAACTGGCAGAAGCAAAAGCAGTCTATTACGTAAAAACAGGCACCAACCGCATCTGGGTACCCGCGTACTCGCTACTGAGGGAACTGTTACTGCAGGAGGCACACGACGGGCTTACCTCGGGAAAATTTGGGGTAGAAAAAACGCGACAGCAACTGCAGCGGTATTACTACTGGCCGGAGCAGTTGACCGACGTA